GGAGCATCAAAGGCTCTTCAGGAAAATGCATACCGAAAGATCAGAGACTGGACACGAGATAAATCGGAAAGAAACAGAAAGGAGAGCCCCATACGATGACAACACAAGGAAGCAGAGGATTATGGAGACCATTGACATCCTTGGGAAGAAAAATCTGATGAACAGGAGATTGGAAGAATGTAAAGGCAGTGATAAATTTGCATATTGTCTAATCAAACTCGGAGAAAAGAGGGATGTAAGAAGACAAGCAAATGGAAGACTCCTGAATCAAGTATCTATCGTAAACCAGAGGAACAGTGATCGCAGGGAAAAAGAGGGTGAGGAGGTTTCGAAAATGAAGCAAAGACCTTTTTAGTGGGATTATTCAGCTCGAATAGACAACCAAAACTTGGGGCCCGACGTTTCACGTGACTAGAGAGAGAGAGAAATAGGGTCACATAAATCTGACATTGTGACCAAATGAGCTAATAATCCACTTGAGATGCAACACGTGACCAGAGATAGATTTCCACAGTTCGTTCAGGGTACCCGGGCTTAATCGAGGAGAGGATGCGAGTAGTTAATGTCAGGGAATCAGAGCCTAGGCACTCTGAAGATGAGGCAGGTTTGTACGTGCTACTGAAGGCTTGATAAATATCACTTAGAGCAAAAGTACGCTGGGCTGGAACCGAGGTAAATCGGTCAATCAGGAAGATAAAAAACGGACCCACGGGCCCATGAGGCAGATCCGGACAGGAGACTAGAGCAGGATCAGACACTTGAAGGGGAAAGGAGCAGAGCAAATTGCAGGTGTGATACCGCCATGGTAAATTAGCCAAAAGGGCACATCTTTTGTGGAATATAAACATGTCAGAAGTTGCGATAGATCGAGGAAATGGATGGAAGGACCAGGACAAAACGAGGAGTGATAGCATAACCATCTCGACAGAAAGTTGATCAAGGGATTGACATCACTTGTCTCTGTGACGAGTGGTAGCTTGGTTGCTGAGACTGGCAAGACTCATTGATGATGCCGATTATAACATAGGCAAAACGTCCAAGAATGTACTAGGTCAAATTCCTAGTGTGGAAATGATTATGCTTACTATGGACTCCGGACAAGGTGCGTTCCTCTAGGACTTCCTGCTAATATGACGAATTTGCGGAACCAAAGTCAAATACTTTTATACAAGGTTATTATAGTCTAGAATAGTGGTTCCCAAACTTTTCCTAGTCGCGGCGCCCTTTTTCAATTAAAGTTTTTTCATGACGCCCTACCCTAAGTATGGCTATTCT